CATGGCGTGCCATTACTCAATTGACTGCAAAGTACTGTGTCCAAGACACTGTGAAACTCATAGAAACCACCGTGGACAGTTAACACTCATTACATCAACTGCAAACTTTCTAGTACACAACAAACCACCAGCAAACGGTTTAGAATACATTTTTACGTTACACAGAGCCTCTAAATAACCAGTTACCAGCTCTTATAAATTCTTAACAGTGCTATAGAATATTTATAAGTATAGCTGCAAAGCTCAAGTATTTTTACGTAAAGTATATTATGTATAACACACACGTTTTGCAACATATTCATATATCTGCATGTTACAAAGACATGCACGTTATGTTCACTTAAATATAGAAAAGATTCACTCCTTGGATTAATAAATGAGGCGTGGCTTACCTTTTCTTTATTAGGTAAAGTCTGAGTTCTGGTAAAAGTGTCTCCTCCATTAATACTGATCAGTTCACCATCTACAGGAGGAAACGGGGCGGGGAAAACTACTACGTCACTCTTCAACGTGTCTGAGCTGAAACACACGTCATACTGCTGAGTAGATTTAGAGTAAGACCAGCTCCCATCAGGGTGGGTGGTGATCATTGGGGCGCTGTACCTGCTGAAACTGTCTGTCCTGTGGCATTTGACAGCTATTAAACTGATGAGGCTCAGCAGAAAGATCACTGACACCGACACAATGGCGATCAGCAGATACAGGTTTAAATCAGAGAAGCTCTCCTCCTTTATGGGCGCATGTCTGAACGGAGTCTGGATGTCAGCTGTGCTTTCAACCACCACCACATCAATAGACACAGTAGCTGACAGGGAGGGTTCTCCGTTATCAGAAACTAGAACCACCAAGGGGTGAGTTTTCAGGTCATTGTCACTCATTCTCCTCTTAGTCCGGATCTCTCCGGTGCTGGTTCCGATGCGGAAGAGGTTGTTTCCTTTGGGCTCAGACAGGTGATAAGAAAGCAGCGCATTGTATCCAGAGTCTGCGTCTACAGCCCTGATCTTTGCCACAAAGTATCCCGCTTCAGCAGAATAGGGGATGCTCTCACTGTTAACGGAGCCGTGCTCAGAATACGGCGCGAGAATCGTTGGATTATTGTCATTTTCATCCAGAATCAAAACGTTCACAGTCACGTTGCTGCTGAGCGGAGGAACACCAGAGTCTGTGGCCTGAACTTTAAACTGAAACGTTTTTAACTCCTCATAGTTAAAAGACTGCAGGCTGACTATATCTCCAGTCTCTGAGTTGATGTTTATCATTGTGGGGAGGGGCAGAGATTTACTATTACTGTCTAAAAGTGAGTAGGTCACCTGACCGTTGTTGCTGACGTCAGCATCAATTGCTGTCACTGTTTTAATAACTGTTCCTACTTTGCTGTTTTCCTTCACATAAACGTTTATTAAAGGCTCTGGGAAATACGGCGCATTGTCATTAACATCAGACACGTAAACAATAATAACGCTGGTATTAGAAAGTGGAGGACTTCCTTCATCGGTAGCTGAAATTGTTACATTGTACTGAGGAGTTAGCTCTCTGTCTAGCTTACCGTCCACTACTAAAGAGTAATAGTTTTTATAATTTGTCTCCAATTTGAACGGAACAGTATTCAAGATCTCACATTTCACTTCACCGTTTTTACCACCGTCTCTATCTAAAACTGATACTAGTGCGATAGCGGTACCGACACCAGCGTCCTCGTTCACTGTGTTGAGCAGTGACGTCACAGTGATTTCAGGAGCATTGTCGTTAACATCAATTACTTCTACCAGCACTTTACTATGTGCAGACATAGGAGGTTGGCCTCTGTCCCTGGCCTCTGCTCGAATCTCAAAAGCTTTTCTTTCCTCATAGTCGATTTTTCCTTTCACGGAAATTATTCCTGTGTCAGGGTCGATTTTGAAAATATCCAGGATATGGTCCTGATCTTTGCTACGCAGAGAATATACTATGTCACTGTTTGTACCTTCATCAGCGTCTGTGGCATTTAAAGTGAAGACTGCCGTACCAATCGGGATATTTTCAAACGTTTGAACTTTGTAAAGAGTGCTGCTAAAGACTGGTGCGTTATCGTTTGTATCTAATACATTTATTTCAATTTCCGATGTGCCTGAATTTGGTGGACTTCCCCCGTCTACCGCAGTTAACACGAGCTGCATATGTGGCCTTTTCTCACGGTCTAGGGCTTTCTGCAGCACCAACTCTGGAGATATACTCTCCTCTCTTGTGTGTGTCGCAAGAGTGAAGTATTCGTTTGGACTGAGCTTATACGCGCTAACACCATTTTTACCCACATCTGCATCGCTTGCTTCCGATAACGCAAATCTAAATCCAGGCAAAGTGTTCTCTGCAATGTCTAGTATTTGTGATTTTGTGTTAAAAGACGGAGAATGGTCATTCACATCTCTAATTTCTATCTCTACACGGTAAAGCTTTAATGGGTTGTTTATCACAGCCTCTACGCTAACACTGCATTTGGGTTCCTCTGCACAAAGCTCCTCTCTGTCTATCCTCTCATTGACATAGAGAAAGCCGGTCTTTACGTTTACCTCGAAGTATTTCCTCTTTGATCCGGTAACAACCTGAAACAAACGGGACTCCAAATCCTGCACATTGAGGTTTAGATCCTTGGCGATATTTCCGACATTAGTTCCCGGGTTTACCTCCTCTGACACGGAGTAGGAGAGCTGCCCAGACGCCGCTTCCCAGTAACAATCCAACAGCGCCAGCACCAGATATGTAACAATAGACCTCCTGCTACTCGGTAAAGGCATCATTCCGCCGAAGAAGACCAAAGCATACATCCACATTAGGGTTTCTACCGTGGAATTGTGAGACTTGACAGAATTTTAGCCAACACTATTCAGATGTTCTTATTCTTACAGACGCGGACTCCATTATACCCTCCCCTCTCTTCCCGTGTCTCTTTGTGATGAAAACCACAGTCATTCTGTTGTACTCTGGGAGGAGCCTTAACATTTCTGTGTTACGGTCTATAGCGTCACTTTGTGGAAACTTTCCGTAACTGCACACGTTATAAACAACTATAAAACACTCCTCATAAAGGAAGACTGGGACACACTTATAAACTGCACTATGAGTTATTGCAAGGATTTGGACATGTTTAAAAAACACAACATACTTCAAAGGACAGAATGCGGATTTACTATTGTCATTGTAGTAAAATCTGCTGTGACATTGTTTCATACAATTATGCAAATTATACAATTGTACAATACGCCCACTCTATTATGGACATAAAGATATGTTCGCTTGCAAATATGCTGCACAACAACACAGCACATGTCTTAGAATGGAACATACTTATCCGGACTTCAGGCAGAGCGCATTAAGAAAGTTGCGTTCAGCACCACGGACAGCGACGTACACATTTAAATACAGCATGTAGAGCAGGCCAAGATGCGACAACAACCCCGTGACTTTTTACTTTATTTAACTCAAACTTGAAGTATATTACAATGAAAGATTGTTGTTGTTCAAGGAACACCAATCCATTAATTAAAGTGACAAGTATAATTTCGCTTTTCAACATAAATGAAGGGCAACAATGAGACTTACTTAATGCTTAAGTTCTTACCTTTTCTTTATTTGGCAAAGTTTGAGTTCTGGTAAAAGTGTCTCCTCCGTTAATACTGATCAGTTCACCATCTACAGGCGGAAACGGGGCGGGGAAAACCACTACGTCACTCTTCAACGTGTCTGAGCTGAAACACACGTCATACTGCTGAGTAGATTTAGAGTAAGACCAGCTCCCGTCAGGGTGGGTGGTAATCATTGGGGCGCTGTACCTGCTGAAACTGTCTGTCCTGTGGCATTTGACAGCTATTAAACTGATGAGGCTCAGCAGAAAGATCACTGACACCGACACAATGGCGATCAGCAGATACAGGTTTAAATCAGAGAAGCTCTCCTCCTTTATGGGCCCATGTCTGAACGGAGTCTGGATATCAGCTGTGCTTTCAACCACCACCACATCAATAGACACAGTAGCTGACAGGGAGGGTTCTCCGTTATCAGAAACCAGAACCACCAAGGGGTGAGTTTTCAGGTCATTGTCACTCATTCTCCTCTTAGTCCTGATCTCTCCGGTGCTGGTTCCAATGCGGAAGAGGTTGTTTCCTTTGGGTTCAGACAGGTGATAAGAAAGCAGCGCATTGTATCCAGAGTCTGCGTCTACAGCCCTGATCTTTGCCACAAAGTATCCCGCTTCAGCAGAATAGGGAATGCTCTCACTGTTAACGGAGCCGTGTTCAGAATAGGGCGCCAGAATCGTTGGATTATTGTCATTTTCATCCAGAATAAAAACGTTCACAGTCACGTTGCTGCTGAGTGGAGGAACACCAGAGTCTGTGGCCTGAACTTTAAACTGAAACGTTTTTAACTCCTCATAGTTAAAAGACTGCAGGCTGACTATATCTCCAGTCTCCGAGTTGATGTTAATCATTGTAGACAGCGGGACTAATTTATTCTCACTGACTAATGAATAGCTCACCTGACCATTTTCACTAATATCAGCATCTGTTGCGGATATTGCTTTCAAAACCGTCCCAACTGGACTGTTTTCTTCCACATACATATTAATAACAGTCTCTGAAAACCTAGGTGTGTTGTCATTTACATCAGAAACCTGAACAATAACCACGCTAGTGTTAGAGAGAGGGGGCCTACCTTCATCCGTAGCTTTGATAGTGATATTGTAGTGGGAGATGAGTTCCCTGTCTAGAGCTCCACCGATAACTAATGAATAATAATTTTTATAATTTGTCTCCAATTTAAAAGGAACCGAATTCAATATCTCACATTTGACTTCACCATTTTTGCCCCCATCTCTGTCAAGAACAGAAACAAGTGCAATGGCAGTGCCAATTTCAGCGTCCTCCTTCACTGTACTAAGCAGTGACGTCACTGTGATGTCAGGCGCATTGTCATTCAGGTCCACCACCTCAACTAGTACCTTACACTGTGCTGTTAATGGAGGCTGGCCTTTGTCAGCAGCCTGCACACGAATTTCAAAGGCAGGGTTGGTTTCAAAGTCAATTTTTCCTTTAACGGTTATTATTCCTGTTTCTGAATCAATGTTCAAAAATGTCCAAAATATGGTCTTGATCTTTCGAATTTAGTAGGTATACAATGTCTTTGTTTATCCCCTCATCAGCGTCAGTTGCAGTCACTGTTATTACTGTACTGCCAAGTGCTGCATTTTCTGTAATACTTGTTTTGTACAATGTTTTTGTAAAGACTGGGATATTATCGTTGTTGTCCAGAACATTAATGATTATTTCTGATGTGCCTGATTTGGGAGGTGTTCCTCCATCTACAGCGGTGAGCGCCAGCTTAATTAAAGCCTGTTTTTCTCGGTCTAATGCTTTCTGAAGAACTAACTCGGCTGATACACTCTCTCCTTTGTGCACCGCTAAAGAAAAATATTCATTGGGATTTAGCTTGTATGTGTTAATACTGTTTTTACCTACATCGGCATCGTAGGCCGACAGCACAGGGAAGGTAGCTCCCGGCAGGATGCTTTCTGCTATGTCGATAGTTTGTGATTTGGCACTGAAAGAGGGGGGGTTATCGTTTACGTCAAGAATATTAACTTCAATACGGTAAAGCTTCAGTGGATTATTAATCACAGCCTCTACATTTATCGTGCACTTAGCAGCTTTCGCACAAAGCTCTTCTCTGTCTATTCTTTCACTGACGTAGAGGAAACCTGACTTCAAATTTACATCAAAATACTTTCTCTTTGATCCAGGAACGATCTGAAACATACGTGACTCCAAATCCTGTACGTTAAGATTTAGATCCTTGGCGAGATGTCCAACAGAAGTCCCCAGGTTTACCTCCTCTGAGACGGAATAGGAGAGCTGCCCGGATACCGCTCCCCAGTTATACTCCAACACAACAAGCACAAGATATATCCCGAACGAGGTCTTTCTTCCTGGCCGATGCATAATTCCACAAAACGAGAACAAAGCACATAACCTTATATCGACGAGCCGTTTGCTTATTAAGGCCAAACGATCCCTTGACGGACGAAATTATATGTCGGTATATTTTCTATATCCATTCCCCTCCGCCCTGCGTCTCACTCTAACAAAGCACTGGCAAAATGATGATCCTTTTAATGTGGGAGGGGCCTCTACAAATCAGCAACTGGCTGGTGGTGTTACGGTCTATAGTGCCGCCTCATGGTCATTTGTTATGACTACAATGCTTTGAAATAAACACAGTCAAACATGATATTTGCTAGAGAGCACCGGAATTTAAATGATTCCAGTCAGTAATAAACTACAAAAATGACAGCTTCTGCATTACTGAGTGTAATGCCATGCCCTTATAACAAAACAGTTCAATTGCCACATACTTCAGAACCATGGATAGAGCATTGTAATGCCGATACAGCGGGGTATTCAAAGCACACTTGAGTAGAAACCGTTTGTAAGGATACCCAAAAATGTTTGATCCAAAGCAGTGAAGTGTTTGACCTTCTTAAAACCAGTAACGTTACAGTATATTTACACAAAGCACGTGGTCTACGATTTCCAGACCAACATTCAAAGGCGGTTCCTATACAAAGGACTATTGGCAGAAGGATTCACAAGTAAGTATAAAAACTAACGGAACTATATTGCTTTTCTTTTGTCAAATATGCATCCAAAACTTGGATTCAGTACCGAGGTGTTATACATTATCAAAACTGTGATTGACTATATCCATATGTATAGTAAGCATGGAGATGATCAAAGTGTTGACTGATGCACGTTGTCAAAAGTATTAAGCTGTTTTAATACATTTCCAAAGGTGTGTACGTAAATTGGTTTTAAATGTGAAGTATTCATTAAAGTTAATGTAGCCTTAACAAGGGAATATAATGGCGTATTAAGAATTTGACTAGACGTGAATACAATCTACAAATGCGCAGAAGCAAACTTATGCCCATTCAGTAAAACCAAGACAGATGTAAACCCCCTTAATGCGTTTCAATATAGGAGCTAACATCATAACTCAACTGAAGACAATAATTAGGTTTGAATTATCTTACCTTTTCTTTATTAGGTAAAGTCTGAGTCCGCGTGAAAGTGTCTCCTCCGTTAATACTGATCAGTTCACCATCTACAGGCGGAAACGGGGCGGGGAAAACTACCACGTCACTTTTCAACGTGTCTGAGCTGAAACACACGTCATACTGCTGAGTAGATTTAGAGTAAGACCAGCTCCCGTCAGGGTGGGTGGTGATCATTGGGGCGCTGTACCTGCTGAAACTGTCTGTCCTGTGGCATTTGACAGCTATTAAACTGATGAGGCTCAGCAGAAAGATCACTGACACCGACACAATGGCGATCAGCAGATACAGGTTTAAATCAGAGAAGCTCTCCTCCTTTATGGGCCCATGTCTGAACGGAGTCTGGATGTCAGCTGTGCTTTCAACCACCACCACATCAATAGACACAGTAGCTGACAGGGAGGGTTCTCCGTTATCAGAAACCAGAACCACCAAGGGGTGAGTTTTCAGGTCATTGTCACTCATTCTCCTCTTAGTCCGGATCTCTCCGGTGCTGGTTCCGATGCGGAAGAGGTTGTTTCCTTTGGGTTCAGACAGGTGATAAGAAAGCAGCGCATTGTATCCAGAGTCTGCGTCTACAGCCCTGATCTTTGCCACAAAGTATCCCGCTTCAGCAGAATAGGGGATGCTCTCACTGTTAACGGAGCCGTGCTCAGAATAGGGCGCGAGAATCGTTGGATTATTGTCATTTTCATCCAGAATCAAAACGTTCACAGTCACGTTGCTGCTGAGCGGAGGAACACCAGAGTCTGTGGCCTGAACTTTAAACTGAAATGTTTTTAACTCCTCATAGTTAAAAGACTGCAGGCTGACTATATCTCCAGTCTCTGAGTTGATGTTTATCATTGTCGATAGTGGTAATGAATTACTGTTGTTTTGTAAGAATGAATAGCTCACCTGACCATTTTGATCAATATCGGCATCAACTGCTGAAACAGTTTTTATTACTGCTCCAACTGGACTGTTCTCTTTCACATAGACATTGATGATGTTTTCTGTGAATAGAGGTTTGTTATCATTCACATCTGAGACGTGTACATTAATAATGCTCGTGCTGGAGAGAGGTGGGCTGCCCTCATCAGTAGCAGTGATGCTGATATCGTATTGAGAGGCGCTCTCTCTGTCGAGAGGACCGTCCACCACCAACGAATAGTAATTCTTATAGTTTGACTCTAATTTAAAAGGGACATTATTGGAGATTTTACAGTTCACCATCCCATTTTTACCTCCGTCTTTATCAAGTACTGAAACAAGAGCAATGGCGGTGCCGATGGACGCATCCTCTTTCACGTTATTTAACAATGATGTAACCGAAATATCAGGAGCATTGTCATTGACGTCTAAAACTTCAATCAATAATTTTGCATGTGAGGTCATCGGCGAGGAAGCTCCATCACTGGCTTGTACTCTGATCTCAAAAGCGTTATTCTCTTCATAATCTATGTTCTTTTTATTTGTTACAGTTCCAGTTTGTTCATCGATAGCAAACAGATTAGTTTGTTTTCCTCGGCCTACTTCACTGAATGAATACACAACTTGTCCATTTTGGCCAATATCTAAATCAGTAGCATTTAATGTTATTATCGATGTTCCTATCTTAACGTTCTCATAGACACTGGCTTTATACAGAGTTTGACTGAATACAGGAGGATTATCATTAATGTCTAAAACATTCACTATAATGACCATAGTGCCTGATTTAGCAGGTGTTCCTCCATCAATCGCAGTCAGTATGAGTCGAATCACAGACTGTTTTTCTCTGTCTAAAACTTTCTGAAGCAATAATTCGACAGTTACACTCTCACCTTTATGTGTGGCGAGAGAGAAATGTTCATTTTGGCTAAGCTTGTAGTTATTGACTGTGTTCTTACCGACGTCTGCATCGTGAGCTGGGTGCAGGGGGAACCTTACCCCTGCTGCTGTGTTCTCACTAATATTGACTATCTGTGACGTGCTTATAAATAACGGAGAATTATCATTTACATCCACTATGTTAATTTCAATCCGGTACAGTTTTAAAGGATTATTAATAACTGCTTCCACACTCAGTGAACATTTGGGCTCGTCGCCGCAGAGTTCCTCTCGATCTATTCTCTCATTAACGTACAGGACACCAGTCTTCAGGTTTACCTCGAAATATTTTCTCTTTGATCCAGCAACGATCTGAAACATGCGGGGCTCCAAATCCTGGACATTGATGTTCAGATCTTTAGCGACATTTCCGACAACAGTGCCCAGATTCACCTCCTCTGAGACGGAGTAAGAGAGCTGCCCAGACACCGCTTCCCAGTAACAATCCAACAGCACGACCAAGAAATATATCCACACAGAGCTCCTACTGCTCGGAGAATGCATTATTCCATACATCCAGATAAATCATACAGACAGCTTCGTTTACTAATGCTACACAAATAAATATTTCAAGCTGTATAGGCCAATAGACGAGACGAGTTTAAATTGCCACACGGATATCGTCCGTGTTCGTTCGTCCTCTCTGTCTCTTTGTTTCAATCGCATGAGAAACATCATCATCCTCTGAATCTGGGAGGAGCTCCGAGCCACTAAAGAGGAAGTTCAAATGTTACGGTCTATAGTGTCCTCATGTGGGCACTTGGAAGAACTACATTCTACATGAAGCAGCTGACAAAATTACAAAGACACATTTGTATCCTAAAGTATTCAGCGACATCTCAAGGAAATATGGGTCAGTTTGACTACACATTTTATTCCACTATTTATTCTTTCTTCAGCTATTTAGTGTCTTTCCGAGCACAAAGTATGTGAAAACATACATAAAACTTTTGTATACGTTTTCTTTCTTCTGTTAATCTATGTGTTTCAGCATATGCTCCGAAGAGTAAAGGGACCACACAATCTTGTGTTCAGCAACACGGACAGCGATGTTCCCTTCGAAAATGCCGAACTTGCAGCAAAAATCACTCAATCTGAAATCTTTAAGCACAAAGCCGGTCTAAGATTATATACCACCAATTTGAATTATGTTAAACTTAAAGTCCATTTAAATGTAATTTCCCGTTACCTTTGTGCCGCAAAGATTTTGAAAATGGCAGTAATAAAAACGTGTTTACGTTGCAACCCTTCCCGACACCATGTAATATTCCTAAATACATAATGCTCCTTGTCTTTAGTGTAAAGTGTTGCATAAAATATGGGTAAAAAATTTACACTTTAACAGTGTCTCTCTTTAACCTTCTTGCCCCGAGGATTGCAAAAAACTCAATAAATTCAACTTGAGCACCACGAGTCCTTTAAAATACCGAATAAGAAGTTAAGCATTAATGAGACAAGAAATGATAAATGCACAGCATCTTATAGAGTCTATAAATGTTAACTACTCCACTTAAATTGGATATCATTTCAGTTTTAACCTAAAGATAGTGCTAACCTTCTTGTCAATACAGCACTAAGCCATTTAAAATAACACGAAAAAAGCGGCAGCATTTCGCCTGCAATTCTCAAAAATAAAAACAGTGCAGTAATTAGTAATTAATGCAAGAATGTCCTTACCTTTTCTTTGTTGGGTAAAGTCTGAGTTCTGCGTAAAAGTGTCTCCTCCGTTAATACTGATCAGTTCACCATCTACAGGCGGAAACGGGGCGGGGAAAACTACTACGTCACTCTTCAACGTGTCTGAGCTGAAACACACGTCATACTGCTGAGTAGATTTAGAGTAAGACCAGCTCCCGTCAGGGTGGGTGGTGATCATTGGGGCGCTGTACCTGCTGAAACTGTCTGTCCTGTGGCATTTGACAGCTATTAAACTGATGAGGCTCAGCAGAAAGATCACTGACACCGACACAATGGCGATCAGCAGATACAGGTTTAAATCAGAGAAGCTCTCCTCCTTTATGGGCCCATGTCTGAACGGAGTCTGGATGTCAGCTGTGCTTTCAACCACCACCACATCAATAGACACAGTAGCTGACAGGGAGGGTTCTCCGTTATCAGAAACCAGAACCACCAAGGGGTGAGTTTTCAGGTCATTGTCACTCATTCTCCTCTTAGTCCGGATCTCTCCGGTGCTGGTTCCGATGCGGAAGAGGTTGTTTCCTTTGGGTTCAGACAGGTGATAAGAAAGCAGCGCATTGTATCCAGAGTCTGCGTCTACAGCCCTGATCTTTGCCACAAAGTATCCCGCTTCAGCAGAATAGGGGATGCTCTCACTGTTAACGGAGCCGTGCTCAGAATAGGGCGCGAGAATCGTTGGATTATTGTCATTTTCATCCAGAATCAAAACGTTCACAGTCACGTTGCTGCTGAGCGGAGGAACACCAGAGTCTGTGGCCTGAACTTTAAACTGAAACGTTTTTAACTCCTCATAGTTAAAAGACTGCAGACTGACTATATCTCCAGTCTCTGAGTTGATGTTTATCATTGTCGATAGTGGTAATGAGTTACTGTTGTTTTTTAAGAATGAATAGCTCACCTGACCATTTTGATCGATGTCGGCATCAACTGCTGAAACAGTTTTTATTACTGCTCCAACTGGACTGTTCTCTTTCACATAGACATTGATGATGTTTTCTGTGAATAGAGGTTTGTTATCATTCACATCTGAGACGTGTACATTAATAACGCTTGTGCTGGAGAGAGGTGGGCTGCCCTCATCAGTAGCAGTGATGCTGATATCGTATTGAGAGGCGCTCTCTCTGTCGAGAGGACCGTCCACCACCAACGAATAGTAATTCTTATAGTTTGAGTCTAATTTAAAAGGGACATTATTTGAGATTTTACAGTTCACCATCCCATTTTTACCTCCGTCTTTATCAAGTACTGAAACAAGAGCAATGGCGGTGCCAATGGACGCATCCTCTTTCACGTTATTTAACAATGATGTGACCGAAATTTCAGGAGCATTGTCATTGACGTCTAAAACTTCAATTAATAATTTGGCATTAGAGGTGAGAGGAGAAGAAGCTCCATCACTGGCTTGTACTCTGATCTCAAAAGCGTTATTCTCTTCAAAATCTATGTTCTTTTTATTTGTTATAGTTCCAGTTTGTTCATCGATAGCAAACAGATCAGTTTGTTTTCCTCGGCCTACTTTACTGAATGAATACACAACTTGTCCATTTTGGCCAATATCCAAATCAGTGGCATTTAATGTTATTATCGATGTTCCTATTTTTACATTCTCATAGACACTGGCTTTATACAGAGTTTGACTGAATACAGGAGGATTATCGTTACTGTCCAAGACATTCACTATAATGACCATAGTGCCTGATTTAGCAGGTGTTGCTCCATCAATCGCAGTCAGTATGAGTCGAATCACAGACTGTTTTTCTCTGTCTAAAACTTTCTGAAGCAATAATTCGGGAGATTCAAGCTCTCCCTTTTGTGTGTCGAGAGAGAAATGTTCATTTTGGCTAAGCTTGTAGGTATTTACAGTGTTTTTACCAACGTCTGCATCGTCAGCAGAATGAAGGGGAAATTTCGCCCCTGCTGCTGTGCTCTCAGTGATGTCTATTACCTGTGACGTGCTGAGAAATGACGGAGAATTATCATTTACATCCAAGATGATAATTTCAATCCGGTACAGTTTCAAAGGATTATTAATAACTGCTTCTACACTCAGTGAACATTTGGGCTCGTCGCCGCAGAGTTCCTCTCGATCTATTCTCTCATTAACGTACAGGACACCAGTCTTCAGGTTTACCTCGACATATTTTCTCTTTGATCCAGCAACGATCTGAAACATGCGGGGCTCCAAATCCTGGAGATTGATGTTCAGATCTTTAGCGACATTTCCAACAACAGCACCCAGATTTACCTCCTCTGAGACGGAGTAAGAGAGCTGCCCAGACACCGCTTCCCAGTAACAATCCAACAGCACCAACAAGAAATATATCCACACAGAGCTCCTTCTGCTCGGAGAATGCATTATTCCATACATCGAGAAGGAGCATGTAGGCAAATCTGAGCAACACTACAACAACGCCGACATCACGATCAAGGAAGAAATATTCCAAAGAAATATTTCGGCATTTTACCAACCAAACAAGACAACCGTCCTTTGTCGTCCGACCTCTCTTTGTAACAAAGACCACAGATACATCATCCGCTGAATCAGGGAGGAGCCTCGAGCCACCAAAGACAGCGTCCAAATGTGATGGTCTACAGTGTCCTCATGTGGACACAAGTTATACCTACATGCTACATCAAATATAATAACACTGGAAAGTAGAAAACATTTTCAGTTCTCCTTAAACATTAAGCAATTACAAAAGTCACTTGCCGAATAATAAACAAGAATGTTAAGCCCACTGATTACTAAAATTCCCTTAATATGACTGAAGTGTTCTTCAGAATAAAGCATTGATTTATAAATGAAGCAAAATTTGAAGCAAAAGAATAACAGCAGCGACAGTGAGTTATTTGGCGTTAAAAATACTAAAATATTGACCGTTTAATCTTAAGAGCAAATTGATTGAACATATTAAATTAAAATGTTTTTATTTTATTCTAAATTAATAAATATGCAACATATTGTCCAACAGACGTGTAGAAGTATGTACAAAGAGTGTGTACTTAAACTAAATTCTTTTTTGCATCATGTTCTGGGACCCGTAAGCAAGTTTAAAAGTTACGTTCAGCACCACGGATAGCGACACACACAATGCGAATCAGCAGCCACGATTACTGACTTATTAACATATTAACTAATTGGAGGCAAGCTACAGTTTACAATATTAAACTACAAAATCAATTACCTTGATTACTACTAATTAATACATGTTCCATTTTAAGTGTAAAGGAGAGTCTCTTTAAATATAATCCCAGTTTCTTAACAGCTACCTTGAATAGATGTATTTTATTTTTAAATAAAGTAAATAAAACTGCACCATGTCATAACCAATTCTCCACTTAGAAAAACGTGCAACGAGTACGTGATTGAACTATTTTCTTACCTTCTCTTTGTTGGGTAAAGTCTGAGTCCGCGTAAAAGTGTCTCCTCCGTTAATACTGATGAGCTCACCATCTACAGGCGGAAACGGGGCGGGAAAAACTACTACGTCACTCTTCAACGTGTCTGAGCTGAAACACACGTCATACTGCTGAGTGGATTTAGAGTAAGACCAGCTCCCGTCAGGGTGGGTGGTGATCATTGGGGCGCTGTACCTGCTGAAACTGTCTGTCCTGTGGCATTTGACAGCTATTAAACTGATGAGGCTCAGCAGAAAGATCACTGACACCGACACAATGGCGATCAGCAGATACAGGTTTAAATCAGAGAAGCTCTCCTCCTTTATGGGCACATGTCCGAACTGAGTCTGGATGTCAGCTGTGCTTTCAACCACCACCACATCAATAGACACAGTAGCTGACAGGGAGGGTTCTCCGTTATCAGAAACCAGAACCACCAAGGGGTGAGTTTTCAGGTCATTGTCACTCATTCTCCTCTTAGTCCGGATCTCTCCGGTGCTGGTTCCGATGCGGAAGAGGTTGTTGACTTTGGGTTCAGACAGGTGATAAGAAAGCAGCGCATTGTATCCAGAGTCTGCGTCTACAGCCCTGATCTTTGCCACAAAGTATCCCGCTTCAGCAGAATAGGGGATGCTCTCACTGTTAACGGAGCCGTGCTCAGAATAGGGCGCGAGAATCGTTGGATTATTGTCATTTTCATCCAGAATCAAAACGTTCACAGTCACGTTGCTGCTGAGCGGAGGAACACCAGAGTCTGTGGCCTGAACTTTAAACTGAAACGTTTTTAACTCCTCGTAGTTAAAAGACTGCAGACTGACTATATCTCCAGTCTCTGAGTTGATGTTTACCATTGTCGATAGTGGTAATGAGTTACTGTTGTTTTGTAAGAATGAATAGCTCA